CATGTCTCTTGCGTGGCATCAAAAAATGTTTCCCATAAACTGTAGTTTTAAAGAGCGCGTTAATTAACCAGACCAGAAAAAGTTTTAAAAATTAAATTTTTTTTTATTGATAGACTGCCTGGCCAAACCAAACCCTCAGTCGATGTAGCAGCACTCTCTTGCGAGTCAGTTTTTTACATTAAAATGCTCTTAAAGCTACACTATATGGGTATATATATATATATATATATATATATATATATATATATATATATATATATATATATATATATATATATATATATATATATATATATATATATATTTATTTCGCAAATAAATTTTATCTATAGTATATATCTTTACTACAATTTACACATTGCAGTACCATTTCAATGTTAAACTGTAATGTAATCAACAAGACAAAAAACCTTTAAAACTGTTTTAAATAAAAAAAAAAAAAAATAACTAAGATAAAGTTTAGACATAAGTCTGAGAGTTAAAACCTTATATTTCTAGCCTTACCAATTTTATATATTACAACATATTCCATTTTTAAAAAAGTCAGACCTTACGAAAAAATGTTTGTTATCCTAACAAACATTTTTTCAACAATATATCATACATAAATTGACTTAAGGGTTAGAAAAATCTAACGATTGTAAAAATAATTTTTTTTGTGTTGTGATCTGTTTACAACTATTAGCAAGTTTTATAGTTTTTAATTAATATTTATTGAATGAAAAGTGAAATGTTATTAAATTTTATTAAAGAAATAAAATATATCAAATGGGTTTTTAGATATTTTATAAATATTTGTGTTAGGTCCCAAATATAAAAAAGACTTTAACATTTCGTTAGTTTTTGAAATTGCAAAAGGATTTGGTTCAAAAAAACAAAACTTTGGTATCCAAAAGTCTTGTGATAATACTTTTAATTTTTCTAAAAACTTATTCATGCATGCTAAAGTAAAATAGAAGTGAATATCTTTCACTATTTTTTCAGTCAAATGAAATGCATAACAGTTTTTGATATTTACGCTATTCTACCAATATGCTAAGTTTCCATAAAACTTTTTTAAAAAAATCCGTAAACCATTGAAAAGTATTTCTCAATTCTCAATAACATTTAATAGGAATCTTAAGTTGTTTTTAATTCTGATTTAAATAATTAAGTTTAAACAAACATTTAAACAGCCAATTAAAAGTAGTTAAGTTCTTATAATCGTGTATTTATGGTTTAGGTGTTTTAAGTGCATGGACCACTTGGCAAGAATGTTCTGCTTCTTGTCAAGTTGATTCAAATATTCCACAACAAATCAGCAACCGCTTTTGTTCAGGTGGTACTTTTGGTGGTAATTGTTATGGATCAGTTTTAAGTCAAACTAGAAATTGTAATGTAAAAGTGTATTGTTCAGGTACTATTTGTTAAACTTAAATTAAATATATTTTACTAAATAATTATAAGAAAAGTAAAAAAACTGTAAAACTTCTTATATAAAAGGCAAAAAAGGCCCTAAAAGTGTTAGAATTTTTAATTGAATGATGTGTTGCTTATATATACACTTTTTAAAAATTTTAATTTTTTGGTTATTAAAGTGAATAAAAATAATTATAAATTAGTAAAACACATATATGCTGTCAAAAACAAAAGCAATATTTGTGTGCTTTAAATACAAAACAACATGTAATAACTTGCATGCGCATAGCTTAAAATAATTTATGCATGAAAAGTCTTTTTTTTTTTTAATTTTCACTGCAATCTCCAAAAATTTATTGCAAATCAAAAAACCAATGATTTTTTATTAAATCTAAACAATATAATCTTAAAAGTTTATTTTTTTGAGTTAAAATTAGACTACAACAATATAAATTAAAATTAAAACTAAAGCTTGAATTAAAATTAGAACTAAAATAATAACTAAATAATAACTAAAATAACTTTTAAAAACGATAAATAAAACATATATTATTTTACTTTCGGTAATTGTTTAATAATTATGGAAAATTTCAAATGCTTTAAACTTGTTATTTTTATTCTCAAGTCAAAACATAATGTTTTCCCAAAAGTTGGCGGTGATTGAAGCATGAGACCAAAAATACCCAAAAATATTAGCCTTCTTCACCCTAAATAAAATGACAATCAGTTCAAAAAATGATTTTTGCTGCTGTCTTCTACTAAATTTAAATTCATTGACAGGTTTTAACTTCCATTAAATTATCTTTTATTCTCTGAAAGTTATGATCCCAAAATGAGGGTGTTACTACAGTTATATCCCTTAATCCTTAACATACTGTTAAATGAGAACTAAATTTTTGAAACCTATTTTACTTTCAAAGTTTTTATTTCAATTTTTCATGAAATTTGCAATGCAAATTTGTAAAACCTAATTCAAGCATTTATTGGTGAAATGGCATAGCACAATGTCTTCTTATCTGTGATAAATCCTTCCCTAAAGATTTTTAGATCGCTCATCATGTTTGGTGTGGCGCAAAGATTCGGACAATATTGTGTCAAAGAAGTGTCTGCAACGTAAACAGAAGTTTTCCCACCAATCATTTAATAGACAAAACTATTGTTGATAAAAACATACTTTTGTCATGGAAGGTAAACTTTAACAGGATATAAACTAAGAGATTCTTAATTAATTTTCTTTTTAGTTTTCAATACAACTTCTTTTTTTTCTTATAAATGTTCCAGCATAATTGGTCTACAGAATCTAATAATCTGCAATATTCTGTTATTTAATAAAATATTGTTTGAATCTGGTAGTATATATAGTCGAAGATGTGATGTTGCTGTAACTAATAGATTCAAATCTTGATATTTATTTTGATTGAAATTGTTAAAACATTCCGTCCATATCCCAATTACTAATTAGTATTAATTCATCAAAGTCTTTTTTTTGTCATCCAAATGTTTGAAAATTTCCTTTTTCTGTAGTTTTGTAAGCCTATGGGATGTGTGATTCAAAAGATCTTGTAGTTTTACTTTGGCCTTTGTTTCAGTAACTTTAATTGGTGTTTTTAAAGATGAGCACTCATTTCTGATTTTGGAAAATACTCAATAAGATTATATTTTTCATGGTGCTTCTATATCATTGATTTTATAAATATTTTTTAAAAGTTTGTTATCTAAGATATATGGAAAAGGTTTTTAACACGTTACTTTCACTTTCAACGTTTTAGCTGAGTGTAAAGCCATATCGATTCATGTCGTTTCTTTGTAACAAAATTTAGCAATTTGAATTAATTAATGTCAAGTTTACTAAATGCTGTTTTTTGTGCCACTAGGAATATTTTCTCGACAAAATGTTTAAATTGCTATCAATCGACTTTTGGTGCAAGAACTTGATTCATCAAACCATTTTGTTAGTCAACCTCTTTTTGCTTGTTCATTTAATAAACCCTCTTGAAAACCGGTGATTCAACTAAAACAATTTTTTTTTAAATTGAATTAAGTAACTGATTTCTATTATATAATTTTATTATTTTGATATGATGCATGCCATTGTGCAATATACTTTGCAATAATTAGTTTTAATCTCTTTCTTAATTAGTTTATTTTGTATTTTTTGACTAGAATCGCACTAGTAATGTTTTTAAACCATTTATTTACATTACCAAAGATTTTTTTCGAAACCTGAAAACATTGCGCAATTCGTATTAAATTGATTTACTCTATTATCTTAGTTCATAAAGAAAAAAAACTTATTAACAATATCTAGAAATTCATGTGGTTTTTGGCCAATTAGTAGAATATCAAAAATACGCTTTAGAACTATATTTTCTTCAAATAATTATGTGATTTAAAACTATAAACACATAAAATCAAAATTTTTTTTTTTTTCTTTCAAGAATCGCTGTCACTCTTCTCAGGATAGTTAGTAGACACTGTAGCTAAAAATTATCAAA